GACTCTGCACCTTCCAGTGCCCAACCCTCTCTGTTGTTTTGCCTCCTCCGTTTAGTTGGTCTTTTGAACGCACAGTTCTTTCTACGCGCTCCTCGTCAGGTGCAACAGCATTGATCTTGTGATCAGCTGTGCTTCTGCTTCCCCCACTCCACCCTAGCCTGCCGAAGTATCTCAACATACAGCAGGAAGAGGCGGATTCGGTGCTGCTCTTCCATGCACGAACACCGCAATGCCAACGCTTTCCACAGTTAAAGGCACTTAAAGGGAGGGGCAGCACAAGCGCATACTCGCAGGAAGCTGACCCAAGCTGTGTTTCTGCCTCGCTGAGGTAGCGGCATATTTGGCTGTTCACAAATGCATCCGTAGAGTCTTCATGTAGCATGTCTAGAAGAGAGCAGATGACAAATTGCGGCATATGGCGCTGTACTGAAGTAGACGTTGAGGTACCACCCGGTTTTCTTCCCGCTGCAGCAACCTCGGCACAGGCCGACAGAGCGTAAGAGGGCAGGCGAATACGCAGTTCTTCGGGAGCAGCGCGACGGCCGCACCAAATTAAATTGAGGTAAACAACAGCAGGAGCATCTGGAGATCCAATGGTGTTCAGTCGTCGGGGTGCACTTGTCAACGTGAGCAGAACGCGCTGGCCTTTTCGCAAGTTTTTAAAGCAGTCAAACTGGACGCCGGTGGGATGCCGCAACACAACCTTTGCAGTTATGTACTTGCTTCTGACTGGATTTGCAGCTCCACGAAAACAAACTGCAGGTGCTCCTCTTTCTGGTTTGAATGACCGAGGATTTAAGGAGGAAATAAGAGGGAAAGAATGACGCGCATCCACCGAAGGTAAACGAAGGTCATGAACGGACTGTAAAGAAACAATACAACATGAAGCATGGGAAGTGCGCGCATGCACGCACGACTACCTACTACGCAAGACTAACAATAGAACAGAATTTTTACAGCCATCTTCCTGCATCTCTACCCTAAACCCTAAACCCTAAAACCCTAAACCCTAAACCCTAACCATAACAACGAACTGCTGCAAGGGAAAGAGTCCATGAAACACATGATACTACAGCAAACAGTTGCTGTCCACTTACCCGTGAAGTGACGACTCTTCTCTCGAGGAGGAAGTCCGCGAACTTGAGGCTCCACAGATATTGAAAAGCCGAGTGCAGCTCAACAGACCGTCGCACGGCTGCTGGACTCGGCGGAGTTGCCAAATAATATGAAAGTGCAAGCAACAAAATAGAATACAGGAAAGCCGCAACCACCGCCACAGCATCTGAGGTGGAACGCGTATGACAGCACAGCACAATGAACGCAGCATATCCCCTTTATGCATTCGCATGGTAATAGAAACGTCAGCAGTTATGTAAGCGAAGCACACAGAATATTCATAAGAGGGCACACCGTACTGTTGCACGTGCGTCAGCAGGGAGCAAATAAGCAGACCGAAGGCACGAACAACAGAAAGAATATGCAACTAGACAGGCCATGGACAAAGTACATAAAAGCATATAACAAAGCCGCCAGATAACGCAAATGAGTAAGCAGTGAGCACGTTCAAGCAAAACGATATTAAGCTCACCTCCGGCCTGAAACTCAAGACGGCGTGAAGCCGCCGCTGCTTCTCCGCTGCAGACGAGGCCAGCAATGAAGGCAGCAGCCACAATGCCGGAAAAAGTATGCGCTGCAATAAAACGCCGTTCCATAGTACGACTGACATCTAAGCCAGGAGATCCGTGCGTTATCAAGCCTGAGGGGATCGGAAACACGAACGTAAACTTCAACCCTTACTCAGCGTTTGGACGCTAAACATTTAGACATAGACAATCACGAGGCCGTATCGAGCCTCTGCGTACAGGTACATCACTGTTCAGCTTGCTCCCTAAACACGTGCGATTGGAGTTAGAATCGGCATAAGTGCGTGCATGCGACATATGTGCCTCTGTGTACTCAGAACACTTAAATTCATGGGTTGGATACAGCACATTGCTTTTGTCTAATTGTGTTCGTTGAAAGCCAAGACTAGCCGCAGCTAGCTGTGGCTAGCTACAGCTAGCTAGTCAACTAGCTATATCCGTCTACTTCTGCTTTGGCGCTTTTCGCGTGCAAACCGTCATCAGGCGCACCAGCGAAGGAACTGCACAGGAGATGCAACAGCTTTCCGCATTCCTTCTTGCCTTCACTTGATTGATCACCCGCTTCTTCTTCAAGTTGCAACCTTTTCAGCTGATTAAGACAAGAAACACAAAGATGAAATGACCTTACGTATCTCGCGTGGAAGTAGTATTCCTCATTGAGTGTAAAGGAACAGTGAAGCACACATGTTGCGTAAGCGGCGCCTGACGCAAGCTTGTACGTCTCAGTCTGAATCACAACCAGGCTGCTTGCCTTTCTCTTGCCGCCACTTTCAGGGAACTTACCGAAGCAAAGATGCGTTCGCGGAGATCCATATCGAGGGAACATTTCAGCGCTTTCCACTTGACGAGAGAAGCCGTCAGCTGGACAGCTCCAGTGCAAAGTGAGAGGACAAACGAGAGCGNAGCCTCTGCCTCCCTCCAGCAGATATATTAGCGTAAGCAGCGCCCACGCAGCCAAAAACATACAGCTAAGGATCAGCAGATGTAGCCGAGGGCCGTACGCGCATCTGCAGAGCCACGATAAACGCAAAACTCATCTGACTCATTCACCGCCTACTGCAAAGCTCGAGAACCCTCCTGATACAATAACCCTTTCCCACATTGAGTCGCAGACTACCCGGAATATCGTTCTCGTTTGAAAAGAGAAAACAGTCGGCGATTACCCGCTGATGGCTCGGCTGATCGTCTCGAAGACTTCAGTTGAGCGACTGGTTGCCGGATCTGAACTGCGACAGGGCGAGAGGGAAACGCTGT